TTTACATTACATATTTTGTGAAATTAAAACTTGATATATTAAAATTCTGAATTTATTAATTGCAAGATACATGTTGTTAGCGACTAGAAAATTAAAATCTAGTTGATATGTGGTAGTGCTACATTTAACTTTATAATACATTTAACCTTATATTTTTAAGGAACATAATGATAAAATAATTAAGTAGATTTAATTCTTACCTTATACAATACACAAAATCACACTGATTCAATAACTATATAGCATTCGGGTTACTTGTGAGATTCGGCCATATCCTCATTACCAGATTCGTCGTCATCGTCATCAGATTCGTCACCTTCATCAGATTTGTCACCTTCATCAGATTCGTCACCTTCATTACTGTTATTATCTCTATCAGATTCATTATCTGAATTCTCATCATCATCATCATTATAAATCAAATGATCTTCACTTCTAGACAAACAATTAGAAATACCATACTTCTTGAATGCTCGGCCAATAATGTCTTCGGAAACATCTTTTCACGCATTCAAAACCCAGTGACACATCATATTCAGATCAGCATGCTTCAAGTTTCTCTTCTTAGTAACATCATTGCTACTGTTTGCCATCCATCTATGCCAATACTTACAAAGTTTATCCTTAAATGGCTTGTTGATACAAACATCAAGAGGTTGACACATGCTTGTAAGACCCCTGGGAATAACAGCCAAGTCAGTATTTCCTGAGCGCAACTCACCTTTAGCTCAATCTGTGATATGCGCTAAAAAAGAATCAAAAACAAGCATTGTTCTTGAATTACGTGATCCTGGTTGCATATTATTCCAATACATTGTCCATTTACTCATTTCTAACTCATCCATCCATCCTTTTTCTTGGAACCAAACTACTACACTAGCTGGAGGTGGTGGGGTGGTACTGGACCAAGTTTTTCCTTTAAAGATAATAACAGGGGGAGCTTCCTACTGTCTGCAAAACATGTCAAGACAACGGTGAATTTATTTTTATCATTCTCAGTTATTCGAACATGGACTGTTTTTGCACCCTTTGGATTCATGGTTAAGCTACTCACCATATCGAACCAAACTGGAGTCTCATCCATGTTTGCAATCATTTCAAGGGGATAATCATTCTTTTAGCGAAGGCAGATAACAAACCGCTGAAAATCAAGTACTTATCCTCAAGATCCTCTGGTAACTTTTGTGCAATTTTGGTCTTATGTTGAAGCAAAAGATCGTGATGTTTTAAAAAATGGTTTAACCAGCATGGTGAAAGCTTGAAATTATTAATTGCAAGCTTTTTAGTTACATCATTTGTTTGTTTAGCACTCTTATCCAAGATTTCAGCCATTTTAAATCTTATATTAGCATAGGTGACCACAAGACCATTCTGTCGGGTTACCATTAGCTACTCATAAAGTTAAGCCTTCTCCTCAGGAAAAAGTGCATAACATCCAGAGCCAATGCTTCGTAAGTTATTTTGAGAAAAAGGGCCTTGAGAAAAAGTTTTAACCCAACATCCAAGCATGGTCAAATCCAGAGAATAGTGTTGGGCTGCATGTGAGTTTGAAGTGCGACAGGCCAAATCTACGGCTTTACGTTTTTCCTCAACTGTGTAAGAGTTTCTCTGCCTTTTCATAATTTGGACCAGGTTTGTTTATACTGTATAAAGGGAAAAAAAAAAAAAAACTCTACAGATTTTTTCAAAGCTGGGTTTAAGAGATATATGTATACAGTTTATCTGCTTGTAAGGTTTTTTTTTTTTCTATTGATGTATTTGTAGGTTTCTTTTAAATGGCTTAGGTGAATGTTTTTAAGTGGGTGGTAGTTTCCCTAAAGCTATGTTAGAGTAGGTAGGTTTTTTTTACTAGAAAGTAACTTTTAGAAAATACTAGTAGGCAGGTAAAATTTTTTTTAAAGTGATAGTTTGCTTAAACTCTATTATGTAACTATTTTTTTAAAATTTGGGGCAGGTAAGTTGTCTAAGTTATGAGAACAAGCCTTTTCTAGTAATTGGAGCCTTTCGATTTTATTCAAAATTTTTTTTTTTTTTAAAAAAAAAAAAAAAAAGATAGAGTTCTTTGACCTTATTTATAATACAGACACCACCATGATACTGTAATAATAAATTTAAATTTGTATATACGTACGTATGTAGTCACAAATCGCTACCTTGAGGTTTTCTGTTCCATAAGGTTTTTGTTTAGAAAATCTTGGTTGGGAGTTGTTTTTGGAAACACTACAAGCTTTTGTACTTTGCCAGTATCATTATATATGTACATATATAGGTACATATGCATGTATGCACATACTAGGGCTCCTCATTTTCTGCGGCAACTGCCCCCAAAATCCGTATGTGCTACCTGTTTATTTATGCAAGAAATTTTTTAAAATATGCGAATTAGATAGAAATGTACATATGTAGATATCAAGAATCTGAAACATAAAATTTAGTTCTTTATTTATGAGAAAAATTACAATACAATAGCGTGAAACCTGCAATAGATTCTAGCTAAATTTACTACAAAAATCACGTAATAGTAAAAATCCACATTAACATGATGCACTAGCCCTAGTATGTATATTGTGTTTATATTTCTATAATGTGCAATAATAAATATTAAACAATAAACCTGAATTTGTCATAGTAAGATTTTTTTTAAGCAATAATACCCTATAATAAGCTACCTCTATGTTTAAGTATAAATTCCTTAAAAATCATAGATCCCGAAAATAAGCTACTTATTGATTTTTGTGTTCAAAATTATTAAAAAAGGGTAGCTTATTTTCGGAAACATACGGTACAGATAGCCTAATAGTACTAAAAAGTATTAATAGAGCAATTCAAGGGTTAGGAGATAATAAAGTCTTAAAAAAGAAAAATGCAATATGAGTAATGAATATTGTAGATCTAGTTAAAAGTAAAAGTAATAAAATAGAACTGATTAAAGTCAAGAGCTACAGTAATAACAAGTGGAATAACAGAGCAGATATACTTACAAAGAAATGAGCAACATATAAAATAATAATATTTACAGAAAAAATCAAGTATAACAAAATAGAGTAGCACTAAAATATTACTATATAGGTTCTATACTAAGCATTATACTTGCAAGCCAACTACAGGTCTTGCCTATTTAAACTCTCTGCATATGCAATTTTTTTGTATTACAAAAACATAGTTTTAGATTTTTATTAGAATTCTTAGAACTATTTTATTCTTAATAAAAAACTTACTAGATTCTGCTATGTTCTATATATACTAATTTAGTTTTATGCAATACACTATAGTTACTTAATACTTGTAGTTATAAAAAGGTTATCTGTTTAACTACATTATACTATTTTTATTTTTGTAAAGTTCACTAGAACACTAATATTTATTTTTCTAATATCTTTTTTTTATTATCTTCTATTAACTGCAACTTAGAACTAACAAACTTCTTAGATTTTTAATTTAGATAACTTGGTATGATATATTTTAGTATTCTTTTTCTTTGGTAATTTTGGTAGTTTAGTTGGTAATATGCTTCTTTATATATCTTTGTTATTTAAATTATTTGCTTATTTTTATAAAAATATTTTATGAACTTCAACTAGTCTGATAATACTGTTAAAATTTTATACTACCTTTTTATTTAGAAATTTTTAAGTTTTTAGTTTCTCAGTTTCTTAGTCTTTTATGCTTAATAGTCTTATTGTGCATTTACACTAAAGTCTTATATAATATCAGTTAGAATATTCTTCTATATATATATAATATTATATTTTATATACAGTAAATACTCTAAGTTTCTAATAATGGATAAGCTCTAATTTGATATATCTGAATTATAGCTACATAAGACCAACTAATTAACAAAAGACAGTTATTATAATACAAATTATTTCTAAATTTTATTGTAAATAAGATTTAAACATTAGATCTGTTATTTGGAGAATAACAACCTAACTATTACACTAGGATTACCATTTTTTGATTAATAATTATTTAATTAAATTTATATTAAAAATATTTTAAAATTTTAAAAATTTAAATAAAATTATTATATAAATTTTCTGTAGCAACCTATGCTTTTTTTGTTTACTTATTTATATAAGTATATATAAAAATTATATAATTTTTATATATATTTGTGCAAATGTTGTTTTGTTAAATTTATTATAATAAATATATTTCAAAATAATGTTTTTTAAACTATAATTAGTTGAGTAAAATACAATTTATTTAAATACATTTTAAAATTGGTATTATATATTAAAATAAATTAATTAGTAAAGAAAATCTTTAAATTAAGATTGAGCAGTTTGCTAATATTAGAAAATTAAATAATAACATTATTTATAATTTGTTGCAATAGTTTATATTTATTATTTGTAATTGGCATTGAGAATTTATTATCTTTTTTTTTACAATATTTAATTACTTAATTATGATAATTATTTTTGACTTATACTATTTGTTTCTTTTTATTTTCTTGTATTTTTTGGTTCTAAGTAGGCATTTGTTAGTTTTAAAATACAGATATTTGTTAATTTTGAAGTATAAAAATTTGATAATTTTAAGATATAGAAGTTTTTTGATTCTAAGAATAAAGCTGAATTTTTTTTATAAGTATTTTAAAAAAATATTAAAAGTTTAGAATTTAAATTTGAAACTACATATTTTCTGAGAAATAAAATCTTATTAAAGAAGTTAAAAAATCTATTAAAAATAGTTAATACATAATTGATCAAAACAATGTATAAGTACTTGAAATTAGAATAACAATTGATCTAGAAACAAAATTTAAAAATTGTTGATTTTAATTTGATATAATATTAGTATTTAAGCTTAAATTTAATATAATATTAGTATTAGAGTTTAAATTTGTTATAAAATTAGTGTTAGTGCTTAGATTTAATATAGAATTCATATTAGAGTTTAGATTTAATATAGAATTTATATCAGAGCTTAGACTTAATATAGTATTAGAGCTTAGAATCTCTATTTTATTTTTATTATTTAAAAAATAAAGATAATAAATAATTAATGTAAAAAATTTTATAACAATACAATAATATCTTTATTTTTATCTGATTTATAATTAATGTAATTATATAAATTACTAAAAAAAGTATAATAAGATTTAAAATTCTTATTATAAGCTATATAAAAAATTAATAATATTATAGATAACAAACATTGATTTTTTATTAAACTACTATAAAATCAAATGCTTTTTTAAAAACAGTGTTCTAAGAATTTATAATTTTATCTTTTAAAACATCTAAAGCTTTTTTTTTTTTTTTTTTTTAAGGTGACCTCTTTGGTCTTTTGACTTTTATTAATCACTTATCAGTATTGTGGTTCA